CAAAAAAAAAAACCCCTTTCAGATCGTCTGCGAACCCTACGCTATGAGGACCTCGCCACAGCACCAGTCCGCACCACCAAAGCTATCTACGAGTTTGCGGGAATTCCCTGGATGCCAAAATTAGAGTCACGTCTGAGGTCAGAAACAGACTCCCAAAAACCATACAAGATCGCGTCAAGATGGAGGAGAAAAATCACACACAAACAAATGAAATCTGTGCAAGATGTGTGTGGGGAGATGATGACTATTTTTGGCTACAACCATTTCTATAGCAACGACCATCTGAGGGATATGCAGCAGCCATCTTGGACGAAAAGTTACAGTGAACAATTTCGTAAATTTCATGTTGAAAGTTGATTGAAGGAATCTTCTTCTTCTTCTTTTTCTTCTTCTCCTCCTCCTCATCTTCTTCTTCTTCTTCTCCTCCTCCTCATCTTCTTCTTCTTCTTCTCCTCCTCTTCTTCTTCTTCTTCTCGATCGCATCACATTTAAAGTCCGGTACCTATCATAATCAACATTGCGGAGTGGACAGGGAAATCCTTCGCCCAACCCAAACCCGGGCGCTCTCAAAGAAAACAACACGAAAAGTGGAGGCCCCTGACGAGCTTCTCTATTATACAGCGCCCCTCCTACGATCTTCGTGGATTATGGGATCAGTAAGCAGCAGCAATCTATCATAATGATATTAAATTATAATTATAGCCCACTGAGCCTTCCTGATCAGTTCTTTAGTCGGCTTGTCTGTCCCCATGGTTTTATGCACCCCGCATAATTTAGCAAAATTTGATAATTTTTGTGCATAATTTCTCATTTTCCTTTCTCATCCTTTGATGAAATTGACAGAATCGCATAATTTCACATTTTTTTGGCTCAGTTTGCATAATTTCAGAATTTTTCTTGCATAAAACGACGAGGAACGGCTTGTACAGCTTCTCTTGTGGACCCTTTTGACTTCGAGACTTGGGACCTGCCTAGTGGGTCCTCACAGGGAGAGCACGCTTTCTACTACTGTTACCTACTCGTGTGAGTGTCAGTGTGTGTGTGTGTGTGTGTGTGTGTGTGTGCATGTGTACTTGGTGAAACACCAAACCAATGTGCCAAGATCTGGACAATAAAGATGTATCTTATAATATATAATATCTTATCTTTGCGTCACCTAGGGCATTATATTTCAATGACAAACAAACAAACATGATGTTTGATAGGAAAGAAGGAGTAAACCACACAAGAGCACCCGTCGACAACACACTATGACACAAGTGACAACTATATTATTGCGAGTCAGTTTTAGTAAAAGTTTTACAGCACTTGCACAACAATAAGGTCATATAGGAGCTGAAGATTAGAGGTGTGATTAGAGCAAGGGAGTAACAAACAAAACAGAAGGAGGGGAAATAAGGAAGATATATGTTTGATAGGAAAGAAGGAGCAAACAACACCAGAGCACCCGCTTACTGCCCACATTGCGAGTTATTATTATTGTACATACCCGTCCCCAGGGTGTTATGCACCCCGCATAATTTAGCCAAATTTGATCATTTTTTAACATAATTTCTGATTATTTTCCTTTATCATTCTTTGTTAAAATTAACAGATTCCACGTGGTGGAACACCAAACCAATGTGCCAGGACCTGGACAATAAAGATGTATCTTATCAGAATCGCATTATTATTTCACACTCTTGGGTCTCAGTTTGCATAATTTCAGAATTTTTCTAGCATAAAACGACGGGGACAGACAAACACATACACACGTGCAGGCCAATATCAAAGTCACAGAACTTATAATTTTATTCAACTTGAACACAAGATATTGTACACATGTATATTATATAAAGCAGAGACAGTCATTTCAAAATGAAACTTCATCAAATTCACATCATTATATATTATAATTATATACATATATATTATCATTATAATACATGTGTATATGATGTGTATGTATATATATATTATTGTTGGTCTAAGACTCTAACCGTGTTTATGTATTTACCAAATTAGGTCAAACAAATCTTTGGAAAAAATAACGATAATTTCTTCCCCCAGCATCTTCCAAAATTTTTCAATATTTTTTTGGGGATAGACTGAACGGTAGAATATTCTGTCTTGGGTCTACTCATCATAGTATCACCAGCAGTAATTACAGTAGTTGCGAATTACATAATTTGAGACCAAAAATAAGAGTCAGACCTCAGATTTTTGTTAGTAAAGAGAAGCACGTCGATACAATATCAGTCAGATAGCGCATGGAAGAAGCAAGACAGAGTGATAGAAACAACAGAGAGAAAGAAAAGAAGAAGGACCTACCAGTGGCAGCCTCCAACCAACAACCACCTGTTTGAGTTTGACCTAATTTGGCAGATACATAATTAGAGTCAGACATAGATATCATCACTGTGGCAAGCATTCCACTTAAGTCCAAATTTTGAGAATTTTCGATTTTAATACCCTCCAAAGCCCTATCAAAGATGCACACCTCTCAACATCACCAAAATGCAGTTTAATGCTATGGTCAAGGCTTGCAATTGTTGTCTCGCTTTTCACAATTCCTCATAGGAACAACACTACAAAAAACTCATGTTTTGGTGTTTTTTTGTCTCTTGCGTAAAAAATACCTACAGACGTAAGTGGATTGCGTGCAGCACCTCCAAGATCTTATACTAGACTAATATACACACATCAACAAAGCAACACTGGGGTGGGGGTGGGGGTGGGGGGAGGGGATGATTGTACTCGTTTTAGGCCTCCATCAACACAATATGTTGTAGAGGACATTTAGGAGGCGGGCTGCCTCAACCCCGCCTCTCAAGACCCACCCTGGCTGAGAGGGCATACAACATCCCAGCAGAAAGACGGAAGATACTCGATGCAAAATCTTCACCTCTCAAAAATCGAACGACATTGCAAAAGTTTAATTTTTTTTTAAACGACAAACAAAAATAAAAGTATAGCATTAAACAGCAGAGAGGAACCTTGAGATTCTCTTTACAATTTACAATGAGTAAAATATAAGAAAAAACAAAAAACAAACGAAATCTCTTACAACATGAAAAATGTTGCTTTTTGTTCATAACAAAATGGAGAAATATAAAAAGACAGCAGAAAACACAACTTTTCTTCACTTCAGTTTGATAAGTTTGTGTAACTTAAAACGAGAACCAAATTTAAATTACCTAAATTGTGATGCAAGTGCAGTATAAGACTCTTGCTGAAATGATGAAACACACAGCACACTGACACAATAATGATTAATCTAGCGCTCATCTAGTGTATAACAGACAGACAGAAACAACATACTGATAATAATACTAATTAATAATAATAATAACAATATATGTAATAATAATAATAATAATAGAGAGAAAATACAGAAACAGAACCTTCTATCAGTTGAATTCTCAAGCAACAAGAGACAAGAGACACACTGATATAATCACAGTAGTTCTGTCTAGCTAGTGCAAAACGCGGAACGACTGAGACAAACAGACAGAAACTATCATAGAGTCAAAGTAACGAAAAAGAACCTACCACTGGAATTCTATAGAATCTGCAAGTGAAACTGTCCATCAAACACATTCTTTCTAAACAGACCAGACACCACTTGCAATTTTTGTTTTAGTGAAGAGTTTTACAGCACTTGCAAACACAAATAGCTCTAATAAAGGCCGAAGATAAGAAGTGTTTCTGGAGAATAAAATACATGTACCGGTACAAAGAACAAGTAGGAGGAAAGGTAAGGACAACAGATGTTTGATTGGAAAAGAAGGAGCAAACCACAGAAGAGGGCCTGCCTACCAACCACCTGAACCTATTAATACTAAGTGAACATCCTCCTTATTCAAAAGAGACAAATAAAATAAGTACAAGTAAGAACATGCGGTGCAAACCCACACCAACGCCACCAACCACCCGTGCCAAGCAAAAGCCCAGCCTCTATTCTATGATATGTATGGACGATAAAAATCTCAACAAGCATTTCATCGTCGTCATTCATCATTGTCGTATGTCAAGATATATAGGTTTTCAGGAAAAAGCAAACTACACATGTCACGTTAAAGATCCCTTGGTTGGTGGACTAAAATAGATTAGGCTTCGGCTGCCACCCAAGCAAAATTTAAAAATTTCCTACCAACTGAAAATGTTTTATGTGTCCCGCGTGCTGATATGACCTTATACAGTTGCAATCGCCGTTAAACACTTACTTACAAAAAAAAATTTTTTACATATTTTAAAAAAAACTGTTATTTCTGGCAGGACGTTATTTAATTATCTTACTACAAAATGTTCCACCACCATCATCATAATTGCCTTTCTCACCCTGCATCAATCAGGGTGTGGTATAGGCCACAAACACTTTCCACCTTTCCCTATTATTTGGGATAGGTCATTGTGATTATTCCATGTACAAAATGTTTAATTCCTCTGAGTCCATTACTATTCGAAGAAGAGATAAATGAGACATGAACTAATCAATGTACCACATCAAACTCTACTGCATTCTTAATTGACATTTAATTTTTAAAATGTTTGACATACTACTACGTTGAATGACAACGACAATTTGACTAGGCATAAAGCAATGACACCACCATCAGAGTAGTTTATAATATCATTAACTCAACATTGTCACGATTTTAAAATAAGAAAAAAACTTAAAGTCAGCTCAATTTCTCTCCTCCCCTCCCCCCCCCCCCCCAATAGGTGTTTTACACCACCAACTCAATTTAGATAGTTTACGAGTCTGGTGGGCTCCTTCCCCCCCGCCTGTCAGGGCCTGGCCAACCCAAGCTACAACGAGGGATACAACGTCCCAGCAGACACACAGACGTGCTCGATAAAAATCCTGATCACTCGGGGAATCAAACTCAAACTCGGGCCTTCGGCATGTGTCAGCAAAGTGCTTTTAACCACGACATCACAGATGCAGTTACGTGGGAATTGAACTCAGGTATTTTGCGTGCCATAAGCAGGTAAGCATTTAACCACTACACCATAGATTATGGTACTCAAGACATAACCCATGGTCCAATCTAAGAGAACAGCATTCTGAGAAGTAGTCCACATGCGTAAGACTTTTTATTATAGAAAAAAAAAAAAAAAAGAGGAAAACGGCTCAGAGCGCCCATCCACTACCCACCCAGAGTTTACGACTGCCCGTTTATGCACAGTGGTCTTCATACAAATTTACAAATAAAAAATATCATACATTATATTACATAAACAGCACTCCAGTAAAGAGAGTAGACTTTTGTACCCCTGGGGTTGTATTTTTCACATTTTAGAATACTTCTAGTGCGAAGATCTCTTTGAAACTTTCAGTATTTCTCTAAATAATCATTTTGACAGACTACTATGCAAAGCGAACTGATCGGATTAAAGAGTAAATTTTCTCTTTGGAAAGTGGTGGCACAGAGTTCCCCGCGTCTATTGGATACGATAGTAAAACATGACGTACGGATAGGGTTAAAGTTGGGATATCATAAACTGAATAATAAATCAGTGAGTCAGATTTTCATTTCGCTACTCCTACACAATTTTCAAAAAGACTTTATGTAGCAGAGTCTTACAGTAAGCAAGCAGTATGTTTGTGGGCAATAGCTAGACCCAGGACAAGGAAGTGAATGAAAAATAAGAGGAAAAAATTCGAACAATACAGAATACAGCAGATTTTCAAAATGTTTCAACTTATTGGACTGGTGGG